TGAGTGTTTCAATCTGAATAGTAAAGGGGTTTAAGCGTTAGTGGCAGGGTTGTGTGTGAGTCAGAGAATACACATAAGTAACGGACGCATAGGAGGACCAGATAGGAACACCTCTTTACTCCCTTTGGTGCAGGGAGCACGTAAGACCAGTTGGAGTTGTTTCTCAAATAAATCCGAGATAAACGCGGCCGTAAGCAGCTGATGTTAAAGGTTTCCATAGCAGCCTTGATAATCTAATACCCCTCTATCTCTAGAAAATTACACTGTCAACTGTGGAAAGACATTTCAAAACAGGGAAGGTGCTGCCCGTTTAACCCACATTTATAAGAAAGCATGTCCAACAAAGCATGTAAAAATACCCCAGATAGGGATTCCTGTCTTACAACACAAATGCAGATAAGACCTTCTCTACTTGATTGTACGCCTCTGAGGTCACAATCTAAATCCCGAGATTTGTTTTTTTAGTGATGGTCCATTTTAAAACTTAAGCAACTTTAATAAAAAAAAAGGTTACTTTGACAATAATTGTGTTTGGTGATTTAACAGGTTAGAGCTCAAACTGGGCCTACACATTTAGATAATGACTAAAATAAGTTTTTTTGTTCTTATTATATCGTGTTTCAACTGTAAAACTGATACGAAATATATTGATAGTGTTGAGTAATAATCAATTTACTAAGAGTCTTCATCCATGCTAAACGCTGAGGCTGTAATTCAGGCACAGCTAAATGCAACAACTTTGATGTTAAACAGGTAACTTTCAAAATGTCTGTACCAAAATGTGAGGGGTTAACGCCATCCAAGAGTTATTCTCAGTACAGATCTGTAGGCAGCGGGACAACATTTGTTTTCTTGGGGAAGCATTCATTCTTTCATTTGTATTGGGACTAATAGTTTTGAACTGACTTTGGTTGCATGCAAAACACTCAGTAGTTAGAGCAAAAAGGCTAGCGCATTGGCCCAAATACCATCTGGAACACACTCCCATCTTGCCTGGATCATTATCTGCATCTCCATTGGCTACGACAAGATCTTTAAATAGCAGTTGTTTCCCCAGAGGCTTAATTGCGTCCGACTGATGGCCAACGGTCTCTAACATTGGTCAAAATGTGTCCCAGAAACCACAAGTTTAAACACAAATGTTGGAATCACCAAGGTCATTAGAATCCATCTTCTGGGGATCATGAATAACTTTCACTTTTAAAAAAATATAGGCCCAGTTTAACTGCAGGTACCTGGTGCTTTTCATCTGCTGAGTCCTCATTAGGTTCCTAGACACACAAGCCCATTAGGAAACCTAAGGGTTAGTGAATAATGTTATCAGCTGAAGTAGAAACAGCAGCTCAAGAGTCAGAGGAAGGTGTTTGTCTGAGCTCATAGGAACAAGGTGAGGCTGCACATCCTCGGCCACTTTCAGCAGCCCAGAGGAGCTCAGCGTGTGTCTCCAGTAGGGCTGCTCGATTATGCAAAATCCTAATCTCGTTATTTGGGTCAATAATTGTAACAGGAAATAAATGTTGAACTACAATTTAAGACCAAATAAAAAATTTTTGGCCACCAATGGTAATGCTGATAGGGCTGCTCATGTCATCTCTAAAATATGTTTTGCTAGAAACTAGAGGCTGCTCGATTATGCAAAAATCATATCTCGATATTTGGGTCAATAATTGATATCACGATTATTCAAAACGCTTATCCATTTACTTTGAAAACATCCATTTATTGGAGAAAACAAATTTGAACAGTATGTTTTTAACAGTTGATTACCCTGAACTTTAAGTATAACTCAACTGAAAAACCAATAAAAAAAATGTTTTAATAATTAAAAAAAATCGATTACGTTGTTTTCGTAATCGTTGCAAGCCATAATCGTAATTGCGATATAAAATATGATTAATTGAGCAGCCCTAGTCTCCAGGGAAAGTCAGTCTGGAGCTTCAGTCAGTCTGTCCACAGCGCTTTCCGTTACCAAGCTGTCTGCAACAAAGCAACCCGCTTCTCCTGGTTAATTCTCATTGACAGCAGCCGCAGCGGATTAGTCCCTGCAGCAGCCTCCTGCCGCGCTGACATTAACATCTGAATGAGCATCAGTTCAAAAAGTGACACGTTTAGAATAGTGAGAAGCACACATTAATAATTCTTCTTCTATCTCCTTTCTCCCCAAATAGTTACTTTTGATCTCTCTCTGCTTGAATGTCCTTCCCTCCTGCCTTACCCTCCCTGTTTCCTCCTCTGCACTGACCTTTCCTCGGGTCAGTGCAGAAGAGTCAGTGTCCTTTTCCCATTTCGGTTGAATAAACAGGAATGAGACTATAAAAAAACGCTCCTTACGTCTTGTGACAGCTCTGATAAGGGCCTGCACTGATAAGGACACAGATTTAAGCTCTGTCCTCCCCCTGATAGGAACTATCTAAGAAGCTGGGAAACACTCTCCTAATTTAACCTTTTAATAATAAACAAAGTGTTTGGACTGCCCTCAGTTTAAAAGTAACCATTATCTAATTGCCTCTCTCTTTAGTCGCTGCCCCCACTTCCTTTGAGGGACCCTTTGGGAAGATTATCTACCGAGTGAGGGTGGCTATCGACACACCACGCTTCTCTAAGGACTACAAAGCCCAGAGAGCCTTCTACCTTCTCAACCTGCTCAACCTCAATGAGGTGCCTGAAATTGAAGTAAGTACACAAATGTCCCTACTTTTGAATCATCTATTATCTAATTGTATTCCTATAAAAACTGGAATGATGCCGTTCTGTTTTCTTTGTGGATATAATCCAGAAACAGAAGGAGAAGAAAGGACTTTGAAATGCACTCTTTATTTGATCAGCGTGTGTCTAGGTGGAGGCTTATTTGATTTCATGGCCGAGCAGGATCTCATTTATTTTCTCCTCTTCTCCATCTACATTCCTTACTCTTATCATTCCCCTTTTTAGACCCTCCAGAAAAACGCGATTCTGCGATCGCAGAATTTACCGCATAATCAGCAAAATGGCGCAGATTTTTAAAAGGCCGCATATTTATCAAAAGGCCGCATAATCCCCGCAATTTTCCACACAAAGTTGAGAAGAAAAAAAAGTTAACTCGTCTTGACGTGAAGTAGTGATGATGATGCAACGTCATCAGCCCGCGCATCACAGAAGGCAAACACCGTCGTGTGAAGGTGTGGAATTCACACACCAAGATGAACAAATCGAATCCATCACATTTACCCACGACATTTCAGCTAAGACCGGGCAAAGCAGTACCCCAAT